GAATGCTAGGCGTAAAGGGAACAATTCAACAAAGGAGAAACTAATGTGTATCAACGATCCCACAATATACATTTCAACAACAGGAAAACTAACATAAGTCAAATAATTCCAAATAAAACAAGTCGACTAAGATATAGGATATCTAAAACTTCTTTTAAGGTTGAGGAATTACTAAGGATTTTCAATAATTTAATTAAGGATAAACAGCGGAAAGATAATCATAACCTCAATTAATACTGAACAAATTATAAGATGATATAATAATAATTTCAAATAAAGATAAGAAGTTATGAAAAGATAGCATGACAATAGAGGAGGTAAAATCTTCAGTTAAGTCAAATAAGAGTCAAATAGACAATAAGAGTGAATCCTGAAAGCAATTAATTCTAATTAAAGCATGTAGAGGTGAAACTAGTAAATAGGAACTTAATCATATCAAGAACAACTTCATACTCAGTGAATATAAGGACCTAAGAATCCTAAAAGGCCAACTTTTCACAAATAAGTCCGAGCACGGACTCGTCACCTCGCGTACATGGACTACAATCAACATAGAAGACTCAATCCTAAGGGAAAAATCCCCCACACAAGGTTAGGCAAGATACTTACCTCAACCAAGCTCAACCAGTCTGTAAGAATGCCCTTTTTTTCAATTATCCGACTCCGAATGGCCCAAATCTAGCCAAACACAATTGCATAACATGAATACAACCATAATAGACTCATCTAATTAATAAAATCAATACTTTAATAAAAATCCCGAAATCCGTCCTAAAGGTCGACCCGGGCCCACGTCTCGGAATCGGGTAAAAGTCAAAAAATACGAACACTCATTCACTCACGAGTCTAACCATACAAAAATTATCAAATTTCGATACCATTCCGTCTCTCAAATCGTGATTTTTCTTTTTGAATTTTTCTTTCAAAAACCGCCATTTTCCTCAACTCAAAACACAAATTAAATGATAAAAATAAAGATAGAATTATGAAAATAAATAAATTCTAGGTGAAGAACACTTACCCAATCGATTTGCATGAAAAACCCACAAGGAAACGCTCAAAACCGAGCTCTAGAACTCCAAAAATAGTGAAAATGACAAACCCTCAGAATAGAGGACTTTATATTTTGCCCAAGGGTTTTGTGCATCGCGAACGCGGAGAAAGGGACGCGTTCGCGAAGAAGAGAAACAAAGCTGCCCAGTTGTTCTTCGCGAACGCGACAACACGTTCGCGAACGCGACAACACGTTCGCGAACGCGAAGAGGAAAAATATGATGTCCCAACGACTGCTCTTCGCGAACGCGTGAAGTTGTACGCAAATGCGAAGAGTGTAATGGAATAGCTACGCGAACGCGTAAGTGACACACGAACGCGAAGAGGAAAATGATCACCAGTGCCCAGGGCCTGGTTTGCACTTCGCGAACGCAAGATATGGAATGCGAACACGAAGAAGGGGGGTGGCAGAACTTTGCAAACGCGAGAGGGTAACTGCGAACGCGAAGATGAAATATTTCACCCTCCAAAATAACACTACGCGAACGCGAAGGCAAAGACACGAAGCGATGAAGGAAACCAGATGACAGATAACAGTAGTTCAAAAATAGGGGGGAAAAGACCCGTAGCCCATCCGAAACTCACCCGAGGCCCCCGGGACCCCATCTAAACATACCAACAAGTCCCATAACCTAACACAGACTCGCTCGAGGTCTCAAATTACATCAAACAGCGTCGAAACTATGAATCGCACCATGAATCGAACTTATAAATTTTAATTCTTTCAACTTCTAAAACCCGTGCCGAAACCTACCAAATCAACCCGGAATGACGTCAAATTTTGCAGGCAAGTCCCAAATAATATAACGGAGCTATTCCAACTCTCGGAATCGCATTCCGACCCCGATATCAAAAAGTCCACTTCCGGTCCAAATCTCCAAAAATTTGACTTTCGCCATTTCAAGCCTAAATCAGCTACATACCTCGGATTTATAGTCCGGACACACTCCTACGTCCAAAATCACCCAACGGAGCTAATGGAACCGACGAAACTCCATTCCGGAGTCATCTTCATATAGTTCTGACTACGGTCAAAATCCTAAGACTTAAGCTTCCGTTTTAGGGACTAAGTGTCCCAAATCACTCTGAATCATCCGGTAACTGAATTCATCCACGCACGCAAGTTAATACACATAATATGAAGCTGCTCAGGGCCTTATTCCACCGAACGAGACTTAAGTTCTCAAAACGACCGGCCGGGTCATTACATTTTATCCTATACAAAGATGTGGTCCGGCCTATTCCTGGAACTCACGTATTGCATGAGCTTAGTGCGTTGGACTTTCATTACATTGATGTTAGATTCTTTTTACACTATTAGCGTAGTTTAACATACTATAGTAGGTTAGTTATATATGCTTTTTAGTGCGTTACGTACGAACTAATAATTATCATAGAAATTTATATGCAATTACCTTATATATGAATTATGTATAATATTTTTTGTACTGTCAGTGTATAATACTTAAATTGTTTAATAAAATCATTTACAAGGGACACTTCCAAAGGGAAAACAAAAACTAAAAAGAGAGGGAAAGATGAAAAGCCTTTCAGCAAGAATTCATCACTGAGCTCATCTCTTATTATTTGGGTACTACTTATAAGGTAAAGCCATCTAAATTCCAGCTAATTAAATCATTTGAAACTTCAGGTGCTCTCAACATAGATTATTGATGTTTTATATGTCAATACCACATGGGGGGGGGGGGATTTGTGTGGTGTCTAATTTTCACGTGTACTGACTACAAAAGGACTTGGTTCTTCTAAGTGTTCCTTAACCTACTGTTGCTGAAATATTAAATGCGGAAAGTAAAGAACATAAGTATTTTTACGTGAAAAATACCTGGTTCAAAAGGTGAAAAAAACCACGACCTACTACTCAGTAGGAATTTTCCAACACTTTACTAAATCAATGAGCCAAAACAACATTTACAAAACTCTTTGTAAACCTAAAAATTAACTCTAATCCCGTTGTGGCAACCAGCCTCTAACTGTTGCGACAACTTCAAGTTAACTCTAACTTGAATACTCAGAGTACCTAATCGAATTTTCTTCTAAGAAAGCTGAAAGGTACAACTCAAAACGCCTACTACACTTTGAACTAGAAATAAAGAAAGACACATAAAACTCTTTATGGAGCTGCTTCTTCAATCTGATTCGTGTAGCTTCAGGATCGCACTCTTAAACCTCACAGGAATTGCTCACAAAATGCATTGCTATTTTGCTCTCCATTCTTACTTAACTTCAGTATGTGTGCATCACCTTAAAAATTAGAATATCCTGCAATATATATAGTTAGTAGAATGGGAAATAACTAGAGTTGTAATGCTACTCTTCCTTGGTGGAAGAGTTCTAGTTATCCTCAACTTCTAACTCCTCCCTTATCTTGGATAGTGTTCTCTTTGAGTAAGGAGTCCTTCTCCTTATCAATTATTCAACCTTTTCGATCAGGAGATATCCGATATAACAAGTTAAGCTTATCTCCTTCACATGCATTCCTCATGCTCGAATCTTCCTGTGTCTGTGTACACAGGGGATGGACATGGTTCATGCCTTAGCTTCCTTTGTCAATCTTCAAAACAAAACTTCACTAGGGCCAACAAATTTCCCCTTTTTGATGATGACAAACTCTGTGCTTTTCATAAGCTTAGGCCTTGTTTCGACTTAGCTCAACATCAACACAATGTTAGAATATTTTACCTTTTTATCACTTATCATCTAGGACCAGGTTCGTTAAGTTATAAATATCACTTTTCAAAGTATAAGCACAACCTTTTCCCCCCTTTTGAAATCATTGAAAAGTTGCATAAATATGTAAGATAACCAGATTTTAAAAATTACTCATGGCCACTAGGCTACTCCAAATGCAATCATGGATTAATCATCATAAATCAATCTAAGGATATTAGCCATCTAAGAAATATAAACAAACAGTTAGAGCAAAAGAAAGTGAATTTCAGTGATTGATAAGATCCTACCACAAAGCATAAGAAGAAATAAAAACATTAGAACATGAGCAAAAGAAGCAAAAAAAAAAAATCCCGAACTGGGTCACTGGTTGATCTACACTAGGCTAGGAGGCTTAAGGCTGGGAAGGACCAGGTTTTTGGTTTTTGGCTTGGAGTAGTTTCAGCATATCCTGAAGAATGCCATCATTCTTCTCCTTTTCTTTTGACAGCTCAGTTCTGAGAGCATCTCGCTCAGTCTCCACTTCTGCCAACCTCTTCTTCAGCCTATCAATCCCAGCATCCTTAGCCCCACTCTCTTGCACCAAGACTCGCACTTAGCTATTCACTAGTACCTTTTTGGATGAACTAGGTTCTTTAGGAGTGGTTTGGACTTCATAGTCACAAGCAGTCGGAGTATTTGCCCCAAAATAATCCTTGCTCGTACCAACCTCCCATTTCTTGATGAGTATCTTGAAGTGCGCAAGTACAGCCGTGAGAATAAATCCATAGGGTATGGCATGAGTCTTGGTACCATTTAGAGCCTTGTCAAGAAGCTGGATTATAAACCCAGGCCAGTTGATTTGCCTCCCACTATCCAAATATTCCATAAGGACTAGGTCCATGAATGTGGCAATGTGCCTCCTTTCCTGCCCAGGCAGCACACATTTATTTACAAATTCGAACAACACTTTGTGGGGGTGGCTTCATCTCACTTTTGTAAATAGCCTTGGGCTCATGTTCCTTTTCATTGTCACCAAATTTCCTAGTAATGGCAAGGGCAGTAGGGAGATTCTCTAGACTTGGCTATTTTAGTTTCTTATAATCATTGTACCCTTCAGCAGGTACACCCAAGATCTCTCCCAGCTCTTTCTCATCAAAAGTTATTTTCACCCCATTTACCACACTGGTGACCCTACCATTTTTTATCTCACAATTGGCCATAAACTCTATAATTTCATTCCCGGCCAGCCTGCCATCCATCTGAAGGACCATGTCCTTCTAGCCTTGCAACTGTAACTTCTCAAAAAGCTTCACCATTCCTTCCTCCTCCAATCCCCTGAGGAGTCTGCCTTTCAAAATAGTCCTCTTTCCAAATTTGACCGTCTTGTCTTTTTCAGCATCAGAATCATCATCATCATCATCTTCTTCTTCTCCACTCCATTCTTCTTCCTCCGTAATTTTCACTTTTCTTGATTTCACAACAGACCTAGTTCTTTTAGCCAAAGTGGATGGTTCAATGCACTTTGACTTTGAAACAGACTTCTTGGTGGAAGTCTTGGCTTTTTTAGCTTTGGGAATCAGAACCTCCACTTTTTCTGTTTCAACTTCATCTCAAAGGACCATGTCTATCTCATCATTTTCAACAGCCTCAACAGGCTCACTCACCTTCTTCTTTCCCTTAGCAGCAACTTTTCTTTTACTTTCTTCTAAGGCTTTCTTCAGCTCAGCCTCACTCTGCTTCTTCTGATTTCTTGTGGGAGGAATTTCAACAGGGATAGAAGAGGCAGCCTTCCTTTTCTTATTTTCCCTAGCAGTGCCAGGGGTGTTAACTCCTGAACTTCTTTTCTTCTTTGGATTGTAACTCGCAGTCACCCTTTTCAGTAGGTTTGCGAGAGTTTCATGTTCAGATGGAACATGTTTATCTACATTTTTCCCAAGTTGAACCAGCCCCTCAGTAGCTTCTCCAGACCCACTTCCCCCAGTTTTTCTCACATCCTCCTCTATTGTAGCAAATTCCTCACCCCAAATAACCATTGCACTTGATTCTTTAGTTAGACTAATAGGAGTGGGTGAAGAATCAACCACTCCTTTTCCCATACCCCTCACAGTACTCCCAGCACCCTCTTTCTCCTTTTCTTTTCTCTTTTTCTTTTCACCACCCAACTTTCCAAACTCAGTAGTTTCAAAACCTGCCATAGATCCTACTAGCACAATCCTAGTCTCCAAATTCGTAGCAACCTCAAAAATAGTTTCAGGAGAGAATTTAGGGCCGGATGATACCTGTTCTGTCTCAGAAGAAATCGTTTCTTCCCCCCAGTAGCAGACTTGAATGATTCCTCAGATTTCTGGGGTTCTTCTTCCCTACCCGCTTTCAATTTTTCATTTATTTTCTTGATTTGTTCTCTCCTCGCAACAACCTTGCGAGCAAGCATCTTGACTTTGCTTTTCTTAGAGGTGGGCATGGTTGTAGGTGTGATAGATAGTGTGGGTGTGATTTCTTAGGCGGTGATGATGGATTCTCAGAAGGGTTTGCCATATTTCTGTATTTTGGAAAACTGGGTTTGTGTGAGAGTAGAAGAGGAGAGAAGTTTGAGAGAATTTTGGACGGCTTAAAATTTTAGAAGTGAAGAACCAAATAACTCATAATCAATATAAAGTGAAGGAGTTCACTTGAGTAACGACAGACTTTGCAGAAGTCTAATCAAACTGCAAGTCAGTTTGAAAAGACATTCAAGACTATCCCTAGAATCTAGGCACTTAATGTAGTTAGGACTCCTCTTGAACGGAACTGGTTCATTTGTAACAGATAAGTCCAAAAAGGATTTGGAATTATATGGGACTCTTCTTTTAATCATGATCCAAATATAGTTGTTTCAAATTATACTGAATGTAGAATACATACCAAATAATCTTGATGAACCAGGTTCTTCATTGAGAAATCTCTTGTGTAAGTCTGAATTTTCCTAGAAAATAGAGATAATATCATTAGAGATTAATGAGTCATTTTAGCACATGGCACAAGAGTATACTAATGAAAGTATGAAACTGAGCAAGATCTAATCTAATTATGTACAAAATTTATAGAAATTCAAAAAAAAATCATTTTTTAAAATTGTGAATTTGAACTGGTCCTTTTAGGTGATCTTAATCATCCCTAATTCTAACTTGTTCCTTTGAAAGTGATCTCTACTTAGAGATTTTGTGAAGATGTCATCCATTTGCTTGTCAGTAGCACAAAATTTTACAATGATCAACCTTTTTCATAGTAGTACCTCAAAAAGTGATGCCTAACATCTATGTGCTTAGTTCTCTTATGATGAACCGGGTTCTTGGTCATACTAATTGCACTAGTGTTATCACAAAATATGGGGATACAACCAACATCAATTCCAAAGTCCATTAATTACTGTTTGAGCCACAACAATTGAGCACAACATGAAGCAACAGCAACATACTCAGCTTCAGCAGTAGATAAGGCCACATAATTTTGCTTTTTGGTGGCCCAAGACACAAGACATGAGCAAAGAAAGTATGTCATACCTGAGGTGCTCTTTCTATCCACAAGAAAACCTACATAATCATCATCAACACATCCCACTAGATTGAAATTACTACCTTTTGGATACCATAGACACAGGTCAGTAGTGACTTTTAGGTATCTCAAAATCCTTTTGACAACAGTCAAATGAGACTCCTTTGAATTCGCTTGAAATCTTGCACAAAGGTCTACACTAAAAACAATGTCAGGTCTGCTAGCAGTGAGATACAACAATGAGCTAATCATTCCCCTATACAACTTCTGATCAACAGATGAACCAGGTTCATTTATATCCAACTTTATAGCTATTGCAATAAGAGTGTCAATTTCTTTGGAATCTTCCATTTTAAACCTTTTAAGAAACTCTTTTACATACTTTTGCTGATGGATCATAGTTCCATTTGTATTTTGTTTAATTTGTAAGCCTAAAAAGAAATTAAGCTCACCCATCATGCTCATTTCAAATTCACTCCCCATTAGTTTAGCAAATTCTTTACTTAACTTATCAATAGTTGCTCCAAAGATTATATCATCAACATATATCTGAACTACCAAGAGATCTTTACCTTTTTCTTTCAAGAATAAAGTATTTTCAATTTTAACTCTTTTGTAGTCATGCTCAAGCAAAACTTTTGATAGTCTTTCATACCATGCTCTTGGAGCCTGCTTGAGCCCATATAGTACCTTTTCAAGCTTGTACACATGATTAGGACATTCCTTGCTTTCAAAGCCCATAGGTTGCTTGACAAACACTTCTTCTTTTAGATAGCTATTGAGGAAGGCACTTTTGACATCCATCTGGTGAAGAGTGAATTCCATGTAAGCAGCAAACTTTATGAGGAGTCTTATTGCTTCCAACCTTGCAACTGGAGCAAAGGTTTTATCATAGTCTATGCCCTCATCTTGGCTATATCCTTGAACCACCAATCTTGCCTTGTTCCTTGTAACTGTTCCATCTTCATCAAGTTCGTTTCTGAAGACTCATTTTGTGCCAATTACTGATCTGTCTTTGAGTCTTGGTACCAAATGCCAAACTTGACTCCTTTCAAATTGGTTGAGTTCATCTTGCATTGCATTTACCCAGTCTACATCCTGCAAAGCCTCAGCAATAGGTTTAGGTTCAATAAGAGATAAGAAAGCATCAAAAGCACAAAGATTCTTTAATGAAGATCCGATTTTGATTCCAGAGGTTGGATCAGTAATTATGTTCTCAATGGGATGAGAACTCTGATACTTGTAAGATTTCACAACCAGCTGGTTTCCCTTTGATGTTCCTTCATGTTGTATTGCTGAGGAACAGGTTCATGGACAGGTTCCTTTGACGTTTGAGGATCATTTCCTATTTGTTCTATTCCCCATGTCATGTTGCCTTAGGTGGAAGGACCTATTCCATCTCCCGTTGCTTCCTCTAGTGCAGCTTCAGTCTGGGCTATGGTTTCATTTGAGTTTCTTACTAGCCCAATTGCTTCATCATCATGCTCATGTCTCTCAGAAAGAATGTTAGTTTCATCAAAAACCACATGAACACTTTCTTCTACACACATATTTCTTTTGTTATAGACCTTATGCGAAGAATATCTCAAGAATACTCCCCCATCACTTCTGGAATCAAACTTACCTAGAGAGTCTTTACCATTATTGTGCACAAAGCACTTGCATCCGAATGTCCTAAGATGGGATATGTTTGGTTTTCTCCCTTTAAGTAACTCATAGGGGATCTTCTCTATAAGAGGTCTAGTCATGCACCTATTTATGATATAACATGCAGTGTTTACAGCTTCTGCCCAGAAGCTATGGGGCAGTTTACTAGAAAGAAGCATAGTCCTACCCATATCTTCAAGTGTCCTATTCTTTCTTTCAACTACTCCATTTTGTTGTGGAGTTCTAGGAGCAAAGAAATTATGATCTATGACATGCTCATCACAAAATTCAGCAAATTTAGCATTCTCAAATTCAGTGCCATGATCAGACCTAATTGATGTAAGTTGATTACCTAGTTGTTTCTGAGTTTTTCTAACAAGGGAGGTAAACATGTCAAATGCTTCATCTTTAGATGTTAAAAATAATATCCAAGTAAACTTAGAATAAGCATCAACAAGCACCATCACATATCTTTTCCCACCTCTGCTTAATGTTCTCATTAGACCACAAAGATCCATATGGACCAGTTCCATCGTCCTGGTGGTACTTACCATTTTCTTGCATTTAAAAGAGGATCTTACCTGCTTCTCCCATTGCACAAGCCTCGCAAACTTTATCTTCCTTGAACTTGATATTAGGCAGCCCTATCACCAGGTCCTTGGAGACTAATTTGTTGAGTTGACTCAGACTGGCATGTCCAAGTCTCTTGTGCCAAAGGAGGGGATCATTATCCAACACACTTAAGCAAGTGAGTTCATTTTCTGAAAGTGTGGACAGATCTACAACATATATATTGTTCACTCTTTTCCCCTGCAAAACAATCTTGTCAGTGGTAAGATTAATCACAAAGCATTTGGTAGAGGTGAATGCTACCATGTTACCTCTATCACACAATTGTGGTACACTTATTAGACTGTGCTTTAGTCCATCTATCAAGTAGACATTCTCAATAGAGTGAGAATCAGTCTTACCTACCTTTCCAACCCCAATGATCTCACCTTTCTTCCCATTTACAAAGGAGACATTTCCTCATTTGAGGTCTTCAAGTGAAAGGAATTGGTTCTTGCTTCCTGTTATATGTTTTGAGCAGCCACTATCCATATACCATATTTGGCTGCTCCCCTTCACTTGGACCTGCAAAAAAAAATCAGGGGTTAGTCTTAGGAACCCAAACTAGTTTGGGTCCCTTTCTATAGGCAAAAGGATGAATTAAATTCTTTTTAGCCCAACTTGGTAGCCTATTTTTCCCTTGAACAAATTATTTGTTCTTTTGACTTACCTTTTCTTTTGTAATGCATCCACTTTTATAGTGACCTGTTTTACCACAGTGTGTGCAAATCTTGTTCTCAAAAAGTGTGAGGTACTTGCTTTTGGGATCCCATTTAGGTGCCAGGTTCCCAAAGCCAAGTCCTCTTATGTTGCTACTATGATGTTCTTGTAGCCATGAAAGTGCATCGGAGGACCTGTTCCATTTACAAGTTCTGTCCAGCTCATGCTTGACCTTGCTTAAATCCTCCTTTAGAATTCTTACCTTCTCATCCCTTTTATACAACTCTTCTTTCATTTTATCTACGTTTTCTTCTAGAGTGAGTTGTGTGTGCTCAGATATCCTTTTACCTGTTCCTAATTTCAGTTTTAGATTTTCAAATCTAAGCTCTAGGACAGTTGAGTCAAGTGCATGAACCTGGTTCTTCAACACAGCGTTTTTACTTACAGTTTCACTAATTATAAGTTTCAGGTTTTTGCACTTAGCCTTCAAAATCACACATTCTTTAGACAACTGTTCTTTTTCATTGTTTACATTCTCAGATTCATCAATTAGTTCTATAAATAACTCAGACAACCTTTCTTTAGACAATAACTTAATTTTGTCTTTGAGATGAATTACACTTACCTCAGTTTCTTCATCAGATTCTCCAATGGCCATAAGTGCTTGTTCATCCCCACCATCATCATCATCTGAGCCTTCTCCCCAAGCAGTAACCATAGCCTTGGTTGATCCTTTTTTATTGCTTTTCTTGGGTTGAACCTGTTCCTTTTTCCTGTTCCTTTGTTCAGCTCTTTCCTTCTTCCACTCAATTTCTCATTAGGGACAGTTTTTGATATGGTGATCAGTATTTACACACTTGTAGCATCCATCATTAGTTTTTCTCTCATGAACTTTTGATTTACTATAGCTTTCACTTCTTGAAGGACTCTTTCCTCTGCTCAAGTACTTCTTGAAATCCTTGGTGATCATAGCCACTTCATCATCTTCTAGATCAGAACCTTCAGTGATTCTGA